ATCTATTCTGATAGATTGATTGATTCAGATAGGGTCTCACTATGTAGCTCAGGCTGGCCTTCAGTTTGTGGTAATACTCTTGCCTCAGCTGGGATTATAGGCATGTGCCACCATGCCCGGCAGTATCAATTCACATTTACCATAAAATATAGATATGTATAAGTTTTAACTTCTAATGGAAGTATAAATTTTAGCTTCTAACCCCTAGAGGAAAGAACAAGTGATTTAAATCACTAGTTAAAATGATCTATTCTTTGGGCCATTAGAACCCATGAGTAGAGATAGAAGATCTCTACATTTAAGCAGTGTTTGTTTTTTTTTTTAAGATGAATTTTGATGTCAAATCAAAAGGCAAAAAATTATTTGCCTTTTTAATTTCTTTTAAATCAAAGTTAAGTAAAACTTAAGTTTATGAAAACACTTGGAAAACCATCTTCTATACAAAGAGACAGACATGGACTTGGGCACGATCTGTAGTCCACAAGTGACCAGCCATCAGAGAAGAAATTGAATGGATTATTTTTAGTTACTCATTATACTTATTTTTTCTTTGTTAAAAAACTTATTTATTTGATATAGGGTCTCACTACACAGTTCAGACTCTAGTCATCCTCCTGTCTCAGCTTCCATAGTGCTGGGATTACAGGCATGTGCCACACGTCTGGTTTGTGGGCCGGCGTGGCATATGGTACCAGGGGTCAAACTCAGGTCCTTGTGCTTGCCAGGAAGGTGCTTAGCCCACCGAGTTATTTCCCCAGCCTCATCATATTCATTTTTCTACCCTTGGAAACTTAGATAATTGATTATGGTTGTGTCTTTTATTCTCTACAATTGTCAGGAAGTGCATTACTGTAGCCCTAGAGTCTGTTTAAGTCTCAAAAGTGTCAGGCATGGTGACACAAGACTGTAACCTCAGAAGTCTGGAAGGATGAGGTAGAGGAATTGTGAATTTGAGCCTCACTGGGGCAATTTAGTGATTTATCAAGGCCCTGTCTCAAAATAAAAATATAAAAGGGCTGGGGATATAGCTCAGTGGCAAGGCCCTGGGTTCAATGCACAGTAATAAACATGAAGACAGAAAGAAAAAAAAAAAAGAAAAGAAAGAAAAAAGTAAAAGGTAGACCCTTACACATTTATAAGGTTTTCTTGAGCAGTGGTGGCTGATTAAAAAATTTTAGGGGGTACTGAGGATTAATAACCCACGGCCTTTGCAATGATCTACATCTATAACCCCGTTTCACTTTTTCATTTTGAGATAGTCTCCCAAAGTTGCTAAATTGCCTAGGCTGAAGCCAGGGACGGTACACCTGCTCTTACTCCCAGCATTTGGGAGGCTGAAGCAAGAAGACTGCAAACTCAAGCTCAGCCTGGATGATTTAGAGACACCATATCTCAAAAACAAACAGGGGCTGGGGAGATGGTTCAGTGGAATAAGCACTTCTCTGGCAAGTGCAAGGGGCTGAGTTCGAACCCTGGTTCTGCCAAAAAAAAAAAAAAAAAAACTAGGGCTAGTGACAAGGGCTGAAACTTGTGATCTTCTTGTCTCAGGTTGGGGGAGGGGCAGACAAAGAATTTGAAAAAAAAAAAAAAAAAAAAAAAAAAAACGATAAATTATTCAAAAACAAACACAAAACCCTTGTGAGGATGTAACTTCGTGTGAAGGCCCCAGTTTTCGTCAAAAACAATCAAAACAGTGCAATAAAACAATAACATGAATGTAAAAGAATTAAAACTTAAATACTACTATAAGAAATAGCTGGGTGTAGTGGTGCATGCCTGTAATTCCAGCGCCTGGGAGGCAGAAGAATTGCTCTGGGTTCAAGTCCAACCTGTGTTACATTAGAGTGAGACTCTTCCTCAACAACAACAACAACAAATCAGCATTATTGGAAGAAGACCAAGTGATGCAGGGAGGAGGAGATAGCTCAGTGGAATAAGTGCTTGTCTGGCAAGTGCAAGGTCCTGAGTTTGATCCCTGGTACCACCAAAAAAAAAAAAAAAGGAAGGGAATGTGTTATCTCCATAATGTACCGACTCCCCATAATGAACATAATCATTATGTACTACAAACATGCACAAATAAAAATTTTAAAATAAAATAGCAGGGTTGTAGCTCAGTGGCATAGATGCCTGTCTGGCAAGCACAAGGTCCTGAGTTCAATCCCCAATACCAAAATAAAAAAAAGATTGATGCATATTTGCTAAGCTGTGGAATGTGAATCACTGTATAACATGGTAGTTTTGGGAGTCGGTTAACTAAATAGAAGAAAAAATTCTTGATGCGAAGTATTGAACCCAGAGCCTTATTCTGTGCTAAATACTGCACAAGCTTTACCACTGGGCTGCAACTATACACTGCAGCCTAATAATTATTAACTTTTAAAAAAGGGGTCTCGCTATGGTACCTGAGCTGGTTTCCAGCTCCTAGGTTTAAATGATTCTCCTGCCTCAGCCTTCCCACTAGCGGGGAATACTGTCATCATTGCACTTGGCCAAGAATATTTTTAATGCTGGGAGTGGTAGTGCCCTCCTATAATCCTAGCACTCTGGTAGGCTGAGGCAGTAGACTACTATGAGTTCAAGGTCAGACTGGGCTACATAATGAGCTTAAGGCTAGCCTGAACTACATAGGGATATCCTGTCTCAGAAAGACCAAAAACCACCAAACAACCACCACAACACCCAAATATTGGGGGCCTGCCCATTAGCTCAGGTGTTTAAGTGCCTTCTGAAACAAAGCAGTCAGGCTCAGGATGCTGTGGTTCGATCCCCTCATCCTCAAGCCAAACCAGACCCGCCCTAAAGGCATCCTGTGCAATGCCCCCCCCAAAAAAATTCCTTAAAAAAATACAATAAAATAAGAAACCCAAGTATCTAGGACATTGACTTACAGAATTCAATAAATACTTAATAAATATTACCTGAATAAATTACATTTACTGAATCTAAGGCAATGTTGACTATTTTAAGATATATAGTATTTATATACTACCAGAAAGGAAATGTTCTATTTATTTGCAGTATGATTTAATACCTTCACTGCTTATAAATTTCTATTTTTGTTTAGAAGGCTGAGAATATAGGTCCATTAAATATATAGAAACATATATACTGCATGTATAATATATATGGTTGTTGTATTTTGTTATTTATTTCTTCATTTATTTTGTCTTTTTGAGGCAGGTCTTCACTCAAGACAGTTCAGGCTGGTCTTGAGCTCACCTTGCAGCCCAGACTGATCTCGAACTTGCAATGATCCTCCTGCCTCAGCCTCCCGAGTGCTGGGATTACAGATATATGCCACTATGTCTGGCTTGTTTTGGGGTTTTTAAAACAGGTCTCACTATGTAGTTCAGGGTGTCAAACTCACTGTATAGCCCAGGCTGTCCTCAAACGAGGTAATCCTCTTGCCTCAGTCTCTTAAGTGCTGGGGTTACAGGTATGCGCCACCACACCTGATGAATAGCTCAAGGATATAATGGCTTGTGTACCATGGGAGAGGCCCT